TGATCACTGCTATCTAAAGAACAGTTGTAATTTTGAGTGATATCCAGCCCTCACCTGGAGATTGGCAACGATGGTTCCCCAGAAGGGAATAGTTGGTTTGAAGGGTGGCGTCTATGGCTTTATACCTGTCCGAGGTCCCATGCCTCCTGAAACCTCACCCTCTCCAGGCTCCATCCCTCACATCTCCAGGAATTTCCCACCTGGAGTTGGCAACCCTATCTCCTGCCCAGCCAATCATCAACCTACCTTTCTTTCCCCCTCACTCTTAAGCTTTCCACACTCCACAGACCTGCAGCCTCTCCCATGCTCTGAAGCCCTGACTGCTACGTCACATTTGCTGTCATACGGGGTCCACCTCAGCAGCATATAAGGATACAGAGCCCACCATTTTCTCCAGGGGAACTGATCTCTGCCATCTGGAAAGCAGTTGTAATTCTGAGTGATCTCCAGCCCTCACCTGGAGATTGGACACATTTTACCTCAGAACAGTAAAACTGTTTAGAATGTTAGAGGCAAAAGCCAATCAAGTCGCATATGCAAACGACCTCTGTGTTCCGAGGCAGAGGCCAATGAGGCTGCATATGCAAATAACCTCTGTGTTCTGACTGGCTATGGGGGGGAGAGAAACAGCAAAATGTTTAGAATGTTGGAGGCAGGACTCAGGCAAAGCAGCCAGTGGATAGGGAGACCCTCTGAATGACAGATCAGAGAGCGAACTGATTTTGGAGCGTGTGGAATGTTCTAGAGAAGTGCCACCACCATTCGGCTTTTATTTATAAGGGAGATGGTTGCACAACAATAATTCACAGCTTGGATTAAAGGTAACTGTATGCTCTAATGTTTATATAAGAAATGTGAATAAGCTAAGGTGGTATATGCATGTACAACTATGTATGCGTAAATTATCTCTAAGCGTGCAATCCAGAGAAGGGAAGAATTTTGAATTGGTTACTGGCTTGGCAACAAGAGCAACACTAATGATCATTTTACTGCAGAAAGTAGAAGGACTGCTTCAGTGAACAGAAGATCCAGTGATACCAAGCCTTTCATATAAAGAATATGCAAAACTCAAATGGTCACTAATATGCAGCCAACAAAAGTCAACTAAAAGGGGAGGAGCTTTAAATAACTTCTAGGAAATATCATTAAATGCAAACCCCAGGAAGTAGGGCAAGTCTTACTACCTTAAAATAATATCAAAAACTATACTTGTGCATGCTGGTTCAGTTTATACAAAGGGAGGCTATCTATTTAATGATTAATACCTATTTAAATACTGTCAGCTGATAATACTTGGAGCCACTACAGATACACGGAGAATGGGGGAATAGAAATACTTTTTACTTAATCAGTCAATTTGAGTGACTTCCATTACAGAATGCTTTTTGAGAAATATGTGAACACGGCTAAGAAAAATGAAAACCAGTTTAACAAAAAAGCATTTCCTGTATTGGAGCATTATCTATTGGCAATAATATGGAAGCAGAAGAATGATGGATCTATGTTCATATTCACATAAACCCATACCAGACCAAAGAATACCCAAGAGCTATAATACAAGGTGAATGATGGGGTCATGGTGTCCAGCTCTGCAAAATGTGCATAGTATATACTATGGCTCCACCACTTAAAATCTAGTGTTCATAAACACCTAGGTTAAGGGACAGGAGTCCATAAATCCAGTTGTCAGACAGCAAGAGGGGAAACAACCCTACTAC